TGACTACATGTTCGGAGATTTTCATGATCCCTCCCTCCAACCCCCGCTTCAGGTTTGATAATTTGTTAGAATGACTCACAGAACTCAGGAAAGTGCTTTACATACGATTACAGGTTTATTATAAAAGATACAACTCAAGAACAGCCAAATGGAAGAGATGCATAGAGCAAGGTGGGGGGAGGGGGCACATTGCCTCCATGACCTCTCCAGGTGCACCACCCTCCTAGCGCCTCAATGTGTTCACTAACCCAGACACTCTCCAAACCCCATTATTTAGGGGTTTTTATGGAGGGAGGTTCCATTATGTAGGCCATCATGATTGATTAAATCATTGGCCATTGATGATTGAATTCAACCTCCAGCCCCTCTCCCCTCCCTGGAGGTCCAGGCCTGAAAGTTCCAACTCTCTAATCACATGGTTGATTCCTCTGGCTGCCAGCCCCATCCTGAAGCTATCTTGTCTAGGGGCCCACTTCATTAGCATAAACTCAGGTGGTTGAAAGGGGCTCATTGTGAATAACAAAAGATGCACCTATCAGTCAGGAAATTCCGAGGATTTTTGGAGCTCTGTGCCAGGAACTAGGGACAAAGACCAAATGTATATTTTATTATACCACAGTTTGTTAAACACAGATGGCTAGGCCTAACCCCTGAGTTTCTGATTCAGTAGGTCTGGAGAGGGGCTTGAGAATATTTATGTTAACAAGTTTCCAGATGCTGCTGCTGATGGAGGACCTTTGTCCTTGAGAGTCACAAAATGGTGAGACTTCTCTTTCAAATATTATCCTTCTGACTCATGAGTGTCCTCTCTTTCTCAGTTCCACTAAGTTTTCTGTAGACCAACACATTCATTCTGTTACCGCCCAATGTGGGGCCTTCTGCTCACTGCAAGACATGCCAATATTCAACAGGCAAGGTGGTAGGAGAAAAAGGACTTTTTTATTACAGCTTGCTAGGAAGAGGGAAGATGGCCAACTCATGTCCAAAAGAACCATCTTAAGGCGACACGAAATCTTACAGCAGTTATATAGGCCATTGGGTTATGGAGGAGGGGGTTAGGAATGTTGACCTTCTGGTGTTACAGACTGGGAGTGCCACACCAGATCTTTCAGTTTTCACTGATGATGGCTATCAGCATAGATTCTCTGTTCAGAGGTCATCACATTCCTAAGGAACTCAAAAAGCAAAGTTATCATCTTATCACAGCTGGGAAGTACATGCACAAGCAGGGGTGGTAAAATCTACAGAGCAGTTAGATCTCCTGGAGGGTGCATATCCAGCTGGGTTAGTTTGTCAGAGGTCATTCAAAGCTACAATAGAGTTTTTCTTTTCTACAATATGGCTTCCCTTATGTCAACCTTGTCTTGAGCCGATATCAATTCTGTTCAAAAGTGCCACCAAATTTTACCTCAGAGCAAGAAACCCCTGGGATATGCACCAATCCTTACACAGAGTTGGGAGCAGTAAAATGGCACATCTCAGTAAGAGAGAAGAATTGTAGAAAGGAAGGCAATGGAAAATGGAAACCACTGGTGCTACTTCATAAAAATGGGGTTCTCCTACTCAATGTGCATAAACAAGCCAATTAATTATGGTATCAGCTTTTGAGAAAAGAGATCAGCTTTATTCTGTGAGATCTATCTGCAGTGAGATGGGGGTGTGTGCCCTTAGATTTGTCTCCCTGATTCAGGATTTGGGGCAAAATTTAAGAGGTTAGAGAGAACAGGCTGGCATGCAGAAATGCTGGTGGGACAGGTTTTGATTGGTGGGCTTCAAGAATTTATGGTAAGGTTCTAAACATTTATGATGAGGTTCTAAACATTTATGACAGGGTGGGGAGGGAATTATAACACCAGATCTTCCTGAATGACCGACCCCTTGCTTCCGATAAGAGTCTGACTTTTAAGTTCTGGTCATGTCCCAGTACTTTGGTTCCATGGGGAGAGAAATCTTTGGTTCCATGGTCATTTCAGGTCAAGATTTCTTCTTCTCTGCATGCTCTGGCTACGTGAACTTTGCAAATTTTCTGACAGACAATTTCTTAATTACTCTGTTGATAAGATGAAGTCAGTTGAACCGGTCCTGGAGGGCCCCGGGTTACACTAGGACAGAACTCATACAGCTGGGCAAGCCATGTCCAGGTGAGGTAGGGTAAGCCCTTTTAGAGGGTAGAAGGGAGAATACTGCTTCCCTTGGAGAAGCATAATCTTTTCCTCCTTGAGCCTTTAATGGTCAGATGAGTGTGAGCAGAGCAATTGAGTCTCACCTCACTTTGTTAGAGGTCCCTGAGTTCTGCCGCTAAGAGATCCTTGGATCCTTCATTCTGTTTCCCAGAGTTGAACATCCTGTTTTGGTCAGCATTACCTTGTATTTTCCCTTCAATTCTATTTTACTTTGTATTTTAATTAATTTGTATGTGTCTGTACGTAGCCATAAATTACCTAAATTCTGCCTTACGGTTTCACCATTCTCTCTTTCTGGACCCAAACCCACTCAGAGCAGCTAAAAGTCACTTTTCCTCAGACACTCCATGGCTCAACAAGTTATCCTGTGTCTAACTAAGGGGTAAAATTCCTGTTGCAAATCAGGTTGATTATCCCTAAATACACTGTGACTTTTGAGAAATGGGTGCTTGTGTGGTAAGAAAAGCAAGTTTAGAAACACTCACTGGCCCTGTTTTTAGTTTCTCATTGGACATTTGCCCACTGCCTTCACGCTGCCCTCTTGGTGGTCCAGTCCCCCTGGGATTAGACTACGCTACATGGATATCTCAACCCAGGTGATGCCAGAACGCTCTGGAGCTCCCACCCTTCCCCTGGCTTTGATTGGCCCTGAAAAGAGGGTAGACAAAGGGATTGAGGTAAGAAACACATTTAAGGATAAGAAAACTTTAGGCAGTATAGTATCTTGGTTAAGACCATTTGCTTAGGAGTCAGGCGACCTGGTGTTTGAACTCTGGTTTTGTCTCTTACTAGTTATGTGATTTGGGGCAAGTGAATGTCTATTTGCCTCAGTTTCTGCTTCTGTAAAATGACACTGATGATGCCTACCCCATAGAGAATCAGCATAGTATAGTGGTTAGAAGCATAGATTCTGGACCCAGACTGCCTGGGTTCAAACTTCGGCTTGCTCTTTAGTAGCTGTGAGGCCTTGAGCAAGTTACTTAACCACTCTGTGTCTCAGCTTCTACATCGTAAAACGAGGGTGATAATAGTAACTTCCTCATAGGAAACGGTAGTATGTCTTATTTGAGGTTCCTGAATATTCATCTAGCTGCATTCTCAAGACTAAAATCAAACTAAAGAATGAAATGATTCCTGATCCCTAAAAGTTGAAGTCTGAAAAATGCTAGAATGAAGGATTTTGATGGCATTTTCTGACCCCTTTGTTTGTGTATGTTTGTAAGAAATAAACATTGAATTGTAGACAACAGAAAATGTAGTATAGTATCCACCTGTGGTTGGTTGAATCCACAGATGTGAAACCCGCGGATATGGAGGGCCAAGCGTATTCACTGTACTAGGTCACTTTATGTAAGGGACTTGAGCATCCACGGATTTTGGTATCGGTGAGGGGCCTGGAATCAGTCCCCCACGGATACGAGAGATGACTGTATTTATAAGTACTCTTTACTCCTCCCAAGAAATCTATTTAATAAAAATAAGTCAAAAAATAAAAAGAGAAAAAAGAGAGCCAGATATAGCTTGGAACCTGGGTGTGCTGGGTGTGGAAACCTGAAAGCAGCGGGGAGAGCGAAGGGCACGAACCGAGTGGAGCTCAGCGCAGTAGTGGGACAGCCAGGCTGGAACCAGGGAAGGAAGGAGATGGGAGTTTAAGTATCTGAAACTTTTGTTTGTCAAACTTTGTCAAATGAAACATTGGAGACCTTAAGAATCAATATACTGAGACAGTGAAAATGGGTTTTAGTAAGAGTTTGGAAATTTCTGGAGGAAATCATCCTGAGTATATCAAGGGAAAGAGGCCCTCATAGTCAAGCATTTTCCCACTGTGTTAATATCAGGAATCACTTCACTCACCCATTGCCATATAATTTAGATCATCTGTAAAAGGCAAATGGCATGGAAAAAAAAAAAATTTAACATGATGAAATCCTACATTTCATTTTGGTGAGTCAAAGAATGTCTAAATTTGAGTAAATGTTCTGTTAAGAATGAATCACTCATAATTAAGTAAAATGTTTGCTCAGCTTTATTGAATAGCATTAGCTTAATAGGAAGCATTAAAAAATTGGATACTAGAGATCAAAAAAAAAAAAGTGTCTGTGCAAAAGATGTGAGTAAAAAGTTCATCAAAGCAAATACATAAAATAATATATCTGAATATCACACTTTAAATGTTTTTCCTGAATATTCTATGAATTTAAGTCTTGGGATCTTTGAATGTTATTAGCTTTTATGCATGACAATAAATCTTACAAAGGAACTTGTTAAAATAGAAGAAGGACCCCATTTCTCTCAATAGTGAGCTTTCACATGGAAGATTCTACTATAAGAAGCCCTCTGTCTGCTGTCTGGCCGAAGTTCCATGAGTTTCCCAAGCAGCTTTTCCAGGCTCTTATGGAAGTCTGGTTTTCTTAGGATGTAAAATGATTGAAATGCATTGCATTATTTCCTTCTTAATTGAAGCCACGTATTCAGACTTGAGGTTTTACTTCTCATTCCCTTATTTTCTAGGAAAATTTATCATTAAACAATCGGTATATTATCAGAAGAAACCTATATGTATTAACTAAGTAACTATCCTCAAAGAAACTTTCCTCCTTGATGAATAAGAATGTAAACTCCAAGTATGTAGGGTCCTGTATTCGCAAAAAGCTCAAGTTTGCCCCATCACCTTCTGCAGGGTTATCTTTACATATATTCTCATGCTTGCTTGTATGGGGAAGCACTTTTTCTTGGAAAAGATTCAACCAAACACAAAACTAAAACCCAGAGCAGGAATGAGGGGGAATGCAGGTATCCTTAGTGGGGATATTGGCATCAGACAGTCGTTTTCTTAGACATTGGAGCTGGTGGAGTTAAAAGTACATTTCTTCTGTGAAATAAAAACAAAAACAAGAGAGTCATGTTTAGAGAAAGACTTACCAGAAAATGTGGCCTTCCCCTGGAGATATCAAACATGGACTATTATGCATACTGGCTTCAGTTTAGTTTACTGAGCTGCGAGAATGAGTCACCTCAACTCTGTCTGATATATAATAGTGAAGCATAGGCATTTCTTTTAGGAACTTCTCATAAATTTAAAATGGTCCCCATGGGACAGCCTTGAGTACAAACGAATCTGAAAACCCTTGGTATGCCTGACTTACCTCTTTAATACCTTCATTAAAGTTTGTGTCTTTTTGGCTTTAGGGTTCAAGCATACAACTGACTTATTCTTCAACCAAAGTCTGTAAGAAAATAAACAAAAATAAAAATAAAGCAGTGTCATATTTTAGTCAATCCTGCACTTAAGGAAAGAGTCAAATATAAAAATAATTATTCCCAGATGAAGTGAAATTGGAGGTGGCAGTTTTGGATCTGCAGTCAGTGATTTGTAGCAGGAGGTCTGAGAAACAAGAAAAACACCATTTGCAGCCTGGTATGTGTGAGCTGGTGAAGCTGAATATGAAGTTGACAGACTCTCACATGTCAGAGGTTAGTGTGTTGTCGACAACCTTTACAGGAGTTGGAGATGGACCAACTAGCTGACTCCAAGGTTGGCTCGCTTCTAAAGCTATGTCACGATATCTTTAAACTGTGTTTGTTCATTGATCTTGGGAGAAAACAGACTATAAAAAACACTCTCTTGAGGACCTTTCATTTGAAAAAAAATTCAATGAAATTTAATGTGGGAGAGGTTACCAAGCTGATTGTTCTGAATGGCATCTGCATTTTGTCAAACCACCAGTTGGCGAGGCTTTCACTGCTCTAAGAAACTAAGCAACAACAAAAGCAGCAACAATAGCTAATAGCTGATATTGATCAAGCACTTACAATGTGCCAGCTGCTATGCTTAGCAGGTAACACGGATTATCTCAATTAATTTCACAAAAGTCCTGTGCTGGAGGAACTATTATTTCCTCACCTTCAGATGAGGAACTTGAGGTTTAGAGAGTTTAAATAACTTGTCCAAGATTGCACAATGAATGCATGCTAGAGCAGGATTCAAATGAAGGTTATCTGACTCCAGAACCCATACTTTAGTCACCGCTCTACATGGGCGTCATCTGAATGATTACCAAGTGCCAGACACGGTGTTGAGTGTTTTACCTGCAGTGGAAGCAGTGAGGTCTCCCAGGTGATAGCAAACTAGGAGACTACTCTCTATTGGTGTAACCTTGAACAAAACACAATTTCTTGATGTGTCATTTATCTTAGCTATAAAATGACAAACAGCAAGGATTCATCCATCTAGCTTTGAAATTCTACCCTTGTAAGTGAATCTTAGAGAGGTCAGAGGTCATAGAGCTGTTGAGTTCTTAGGCAGAACCTTCTAATTTGGTTTAGGAATTCCATGATGGAAAAACAGATTTCTGACCATCTGCACTCACAGTATTTTCCCTCCTCACTGCTATGTGTTTCTCATAATAATTTGTAGCTTATTTTTCTGTATCTGGTTAAAATTCAGAAATGCAGAATTTGGTAAGAAGATAAGAAATCAAATTTTTGTCACCTCAAAATGATGGAAGTTGAAGTAGAGATAATAAGAGTGCATTACTTCCCTTGGTTGAGAGGTGAGAGAGGTGAGAGAGAGAGAGAGAGAGAGAGGTGTCATGTCCTCATGACAGAGGAAATGTAATGAAAGGAAAGGAATCTCAGTTTTCTGTACAGCCAGAGGAACTGCTCCCAGATAGGTCCTGGCTAGACTTCACATCTCTGAGTTTGAGGGCAATAATTGTGGTTTCATTGGCAAAGACGTTAGTGAAAGTATAATGTCTTTTTAATGAAAAAATTTTATACATATTTTTGATATCCCATTTTTTTCTTTATAAATTGAATGTAACTAGTTCAAGACCCAAAACGCTGATATCAAAATGGGATAAACAAAAAGTAGGTCCTTACAAACATTTCAAAGTCTAAAGAAGTCCCAGCGAAGAGCTGCTAATGAAAGCCAAGTCAGGGATGCCCTGAGAAAGATGCTATGCCGAATATGTCAATGTGTTGTGGGTGCTTGGTTCATTATCATAGATCCAGGAAGGAGAAATGGAAGTTCTAAGTAGTGATATAGCAAAATATCTATAGCAAATTGTTGTAAATTTACAATCTATTGCTGTAAATATTTACTACAACAATCCAACATTTGTTGAGCCTCTAGTATATGCCAGGTAAGGGATAAAGCATTAGGAATAGAGAAATAATATTTGATCCCCGTCTATAAAGAACTTATTTTCTGGTGGGAGTGAAAGAGAAAAAAACAAACCTGATTGTTTCAACACAATGATGCTATAATAATCGCAGCTAACGTTTGCTGAACATTTGCCACAGTGCCAGGCACTGGGCTGGGGCTTTCCATGCAGTGTGTAAAGTCTCATCTGATGTGCCATGGAAAATGCTATGATAGAAGTATCTGCAGATTTCTCTGGGAGTACAGAAAAGGGAGGGTCACAGAAGAAAGGAGTCATACCTTTCAGTAAAAGAAAATATCTGTTAAATTTCTTGCAGCCACTTCTGCCTCATTAGTCTAACTTTTTAATCAGCTATGGGATCAAAGTTGGTAGAACATAAAGCTAAAGGAGAATTCCATAAAATAGGCATTCCACCAAGGACTGTTGGTGTTACTTATTTTCTTGCTCTTTAACTTCTGAGGAACAAAGCATCTGCTTCTGTCCGCAATTTGTATTTGGTGGATAAGAGGCTTGGTTGGGAGAAAGTGTGGGTGGAATCCTGGCTCTGTCCCTTTCTAATGGTGTTCCTCAGGGCAGTTTGTTAACCTCCTTAAGCCTGCATTTCTGCATCTGGAAGGGAGTGATAACAATAGACATACCTTAATAGGGCTGTTGAAGGAATAAAATGAGTGAATGTGCAGAAAACACTTAGCTCAGGTCTAAGTATCACTGATTCTCAGTCATTATTAGCTTGAGAATTGTTAGCGACACTGAGAGTGAATCACTTTGGGATTCTTGAGTAAGTAAGAACACTATGTGGCAACGTTTGATCTGAATTTCATTGGGAGAATGGAATCACATATATTTTTTCCTTGCAACTTACATGATTTCTGGGTTTGGACACCCATTCCCAGGGGCAGTGATTTGAATCCGGTCAACAATGCGGAAGGGGAATAAGGGTACCGTCTCTCGGATGCATTTACACTTTAAGTTTGTGTTATAGGCCTCCAGAACACCTGTAAACACAGAATCAGTTATTTTAATCCTTTGGCATATAATTCATAACTAGAACATAATTACTAATCTTTCATACGGTGCAATTGAAGATTTAAAAATTTAAGTCTGTGCTTCCACCCACATGACTTTAATTTGTGTATTTCTGTTTGTCTTGGCTTATTTCCAAACATCTTCTACCAAAACCATAAAAATAAAACTAGCTTTTCAAAAACACAACACCTATGGAAATTTGTGATAGCATTATATTGGTACTCAGGTGATTGTCCATATAATAAAATTCAAGAACTGCCGCTATCAGTTATAATTAATGCAATAAAATCAACTGATCTTCACTCTCAACACATAAAAACTGAGGAGGCAAACTCCTTACAGAGCCCTCGGAACAATAACAAGGGGTGGCAGAGTTCTCTCTCTTATCATACTCCCCTCAACCCTCCTTGTCTCTCTGTTGGAGGAAATGCCACAGAAGATTTTTTTTTGTTTTTGTTGCAAAAAACGTCTCCATCTCAGTTGCAAATTGTTACCAAACATCTCAGTTGCAAATCATTACCAAACAAAAATCTGGTAATAAAAATTCAAGACTATTTTTATTCAACAACAAAAGGTATTAGTACCAATCCTTTTATAAGTGATTCATCTCATGCATTTTAATGAATTCTATCCTCTTTAACCCCAGTGCCTACCACCATGCCTGACATGTATTTGCAAATAAAAGGGACCTGGCTTTCAAAGTGTTTACAATTTAGTGGGGGAAGCAAAGGAACAAAAATTAAAATATCACAGAATGTTGTGTTTCACCCAAGGTCCAAACTGCATGATGGGAACAGAGGGCTTTGCTAGGAGCAATGGAAAAGCATTATGGAGGAGGAAAGAGATGAGGGTCTTGAAGAATGAAAATAACGTGAAAAAATTGAAAAAAACGTTCCCTGCATTTTAAAGAACAAAAATGTGTTCTCTACACCTGAGCAGAGTGTATCATTCTGCACATGCATCAGATTCCTTCAGCTATATAAAAACTTACCACTTCAACTAGATATTTATCTATCTACACAAAGATAGCCTCCTCATTCAGACTCGCAAGACTGCTTCTTTGCAGAAAGCGTGCACCTGGTTCATGTCAGAGCTAACCATACAGAGTTGTATCAGACTTTCCCTGTAGGAGACCAACTGGTTGAGGTCAATAATCTTTAAACAATATAAAGGGTTTGGTCAGAAGGGGTAGCATTGAAAGGCAGAACAAAGAAGAGACACATGGAAAGAATTAGTTATGGCAGAGCTGAACCTGAAAAAGGCCAGGAGTAGACAAACCAAACATAAGTCACATAGACAATGGAAATCCAGCATCTCCTTCTATGGACAACAATCTTAATAATAGAAATGCTTTCAGCCTCTAAGAGTTAAATCCCTAAGCACCTTACTTTTAGAAATCTAGAAGCAGTTGAGCAGTTTTTTCCCCTTCAGTCATATTTCCCTCCATTTTCTAATTGAAAAAAAATTCAAATGGCTGAAGACCATTTCTATTCAAAGCACAATGACAACATAAGTGAAAGTTCTCACCATGGACTGGAGAGAGGCTGCAGACCAGCAGAATGAGAAGCAGAGATCCTGGGGTGAACCTCATTCTGCCTCAAGGTGGAGTTCAGACTTCAGCTCTGAGTCTACACTGTGGGTTCTCAGCACAGAGACTCCTATTTATTTATACCAGAAAGGGCCCTCCCACTGCCTTTGTCTCTAGTAGGTCAGCTGCATCATCAGTTTTAAAAGCCCCCAAATATTGCTGAGCTTGCTTTTTTTTTTTTTGAACTCCTCTTGCAAATTTTATGAATTTGCTTCAGAGCACTGTTAGTCTAATAAAATATTTCTTGATCATGTAGTCTGTAAATGGCAGGGATGCTGCAGGAATTTGGGGGTGGGGAGGGAGGAAAAAGATATCAGTTTGGAGGCTCCACCACACTCTCTCTAGGATCACTATCAGTGATGGTGGCTTTGACTGCTTCTCTCAGTGAAGGTCAGCAGGCTGTCTCAATGGCATTTGAATATATGCTCCATGATATTAGGGACTCTGTCGGGCACGTCATTGTGTCCCAAGAACCTGCAAGAGAGTCAAGCCTTTGGTGGGTGCTCAGTAAATATTTGCAGATCTAATGAATGTCTCCTGATAGACAGATCCCTATGCTGACTAGGTTACCGTTTTTCTACCAGACTTTCCCACCTTTTATTTCACTATCTGAAATATGTGATTACTTATGTAATCTAACCATCATGGAATTCCTGGAAAGGGGCAAGTAATGTGCCCCCTCACTGGTGTGCCTGTGTCTTGATGAAGGGAGGGAGGCCACAGCGTTGAGGAAGAGAATCTTTCTGGCTCTGGTACGCAGGTTATTAAGCTTGAGCCCCAGGTGTCAATGGAGGGTGTCATTAGGATTTCATCGGGTGCTGAACCCCATATTACAGTTTGTTTGACAAGGCGTATGTACAGTTGGGTTTTGATCCCGCCAAATAGCCCGTGAGGACAATTAGCCCACAGCCTTAACTCACTTGCTAGAAGCTCTTTGATTAAAAAAAAGTATGTGGACAATGGCTGGTCTGGCCTAGAGTGCCACTGGGCTGCCCTGGGAGTATACAGTATGGATGTATGAAACCAGACCCACTGAACCACTGAAAAAATCAGAGATTTGGTCTTCCTGGTGTGGCTTTCTAAACAATTTGAGTTTTGCTACTCAGTTAGCATGGTGGATGTTTACATCCCAGATGCTCCAGTGTGTATGGCGTGGGGGTTGTGGCAATGGCACACTCCCTTCTTACAACAAGCAGTTCTCCGGTTGGCCTGAATGACTGCAGGGACAGGGAACTTGGCAGTCTGGAGGCAGCCTTTCCATTGTGTGGGCAGTTCTAGTTGTTAGAAAGATCTTTCTTATGTATATGTGAAAGCTGCTTCCCTAATAGTTCAGTCACTTTGTCCTAATTCAACCCCTTATTACCAAATGAAAACAATTCTAAATGTTCTTTCATATGTAGCACTGCAAATAGTTGAAGACAGGGTGTGTTCCCCAACAAGCAGATGCTGAGATGGATGTTGGAATAAAAGAAGTTTTTTTGTTTGTTTGTTTTGTTTTTCCAGAATAACTCCTGTGATAGATAAAAGTGGGGAGGAGGCAGGGAGAGCCTCAGATTGCAAGGCTGATCTAACAAAGTCCATGACAACTCAACTCAACGGGGGGCTCCAGAGAAAAAGCTATCTATTAGAGGATCCCCACAATGAGCAGAGATGTCCAGGCCCTCCTACCCCTGCCATACTCATCTATTAGAGGATCCCCACAATGAGCAGAGATGTCCAGGCCCTCCTACCCCTGCCATACTCAGTCATTGGCTGGGGCTTCTCAGAAACAGCATGGTGTCTGGTAGAATGCTGAAGCAGATCCTGACGGTGTTAACAGCTGGAGGCTGTCAGCTAACTACTTCTCACAGCTGGCCAGCAAGTTATTTCTTTAAGGAAAATCTGAGCAGTGGACCTCCACGGCTGTCACATGGGGTTATAAACTAGAGGTTAAGAGCACAAACTATGGAGTCACCCAGTCAATGACTTTGGATAGGTCACTTAATTTATCTATGCCTCATATTTACCAGTTTTCACATGGGGATAATACTAATTTCAAAGGATTGTTTGAGGAATAAAATTATCTAGTGTATGTAGAGTTCTCGGCAGGGTGCCTGGCACGTAGAATGTATTCAATAGGTAGCCTGTCTGTCTGGCTGTCTATCCATCTATCCATCTATCCATGCATCCGTTATCAATAGGTCTTACTAACTTCCTTTCTAAAACCTACATGTACACACTTCAAAGGTAAATATTTCTGGTTTTTTTAACTTATAAAACAGTTTGAAGCTCTCTCACCATCATTTTTCCACCTGGTTTATCTTTTTGAAACCTGTTGATCTTTTTCATTGTTTCTCCTAAATCATGACTGCCCTTCCTTCTTCCTTCCCATACCTTCTCTGACTCACACACACACACACAAACTCTCGTGTGCACACACATCTGAATACCATACTACCCCAAGTATGGCTGTGCCAATACAAAATAGAGGAAGCCCATTACCTCCTTTGTCCTAGGCATTGTTCTTCTATTAATGCATTCCTAGACTGAATAATATTATTCTGGTCACTTACATTAATTTGGCAGTCAACACAATTTCTGTTTCTGCTGAAAATGGTCAATTTCTGACTATGTCACATTCAATTCACTCTTATGCGATTGGATCTTGGGACCCGAGTGTAGGAGTTTCACATTTGCCTCTGTTATATGTACTATATATCTCCTTGTTAGAGCAAAAATGAGTGAGGCTGACAATAACAGTAAAAGCATGGGGAAAAAGGTACCTGAAAGAGGACTCTGAATAAATCTAGGGAATTCCACAACTGGACATTGCTAAAATAGGACCACTGGGTCAAGGAGCTAATTCCAGAGCAAGTCTAAAATGTGATTCTGGTCCTTTTAATGCCCAGAGTTCTGTATTTAGCTTTACTGACCAAAGAAGCCTTATACCGGCCTGCCTCAAGATAGGATTGGAGGTTGGGCAGCTCTCTGGTGGCCAGATGATTCTAGAATCTTCAATATGACTCTCCATGGTCCCATTTACAGCAGGGGTATAGACTTCAAAAACTTTGAAGCCAAGAACAAAAATATTTTGACCCAACAGATGAAGGTCCAAATGAAAACATTTTATTTTAAAAATGGCTTTTATAGATACCTTTGTTTGGAAACCAAAACATATAATTTGACTTGTATTAAACCTGATTTTAATGATCAGATATATAAAAACTTAGGAAAAACGAGAAAATTGTGGGGAGGGTTTTTTCCCTTACTTTGGAATCAAACCAGATTTTTCTCTCCAGACCCAAGAAAAACTGGGTAGTTTTGAGTACCTTAGTACTCGAGCTGTCGTCCACGGACTAGCACCATGAACTTCACCTGAGAGCTTGTTAAAAACGCGGAATCTCAGGTCCTGCCTTTTAACAAGATTCCTAGCTGATTTGAATGTACCTTAAAGTCTGAGAAGCCCTGGTTTAGTACAGCATGAGCCATGTGCATATTCAAATTGTCCTCAGAGAAATGTTTGCACAAGTCATGTCCTCAGAGTGTGATGCGCAGATCCCTTAGAGAAAGCAGGCAGGACAAACGTTCTCACTGACAGGTAACTGCAGAGTGGTGACAAGAAGAAGAAGGAAATTCTTTCTCAAGATATCAAAAAGTGAAATGTCACTAAAATAGAGAAGTGGCATAACCAGCCAAGTATCTACCAGATTAGCTAGCCAACAGGTATTGAACAGAGGGCCCATGGTCGAGTATAAAATGACTAAGGGGAAAAAAGTCTTATAATTTTAAGTAGTTTGCAGTAAAATAGGAGACGAGACAAATGCCTCTGTGACCAAATGGAGAACATTTTCTTTCATGCCATTTAAAAAGAAACTCAACTAAAAAACAGAAACTTACTCTATTCCATTAACAAATGTTTTAACCTGCTGAAAATCTGACATCTATTTGCTTCCACATAATTGTCAGCACAACAGGGATGTATTATAATATGGGAGGTAAGAACTCAGGTTCTGAAATCAGACTCTAGATTTGTATACCCGCTCCAACATTTACTTGCCTTGTTATCATCCCCAAGGCTCAGTTCCTCCTGTGTCAGTAGGACTAATAACAGTAATACCTTCTTAGAGGATTGTGTAGGGAATAATAGTGCCAGGAAAATAGTTGCTCAGTGTTTGGGCAAATAACACTCAGTAAATGTTAGTTACTTTTTATCTTTGTGAAAACACAACCATTTATTATTTTTTATTGTTTTCTTATTTTATTGTGGTAAGAACACTTAATGTGAGACCTAGCCCCGTAACAGATTTTTAAGTGTACCACACAGCGTTGTTGACTATAGGTACAATGTTGTACAGCAGATCTCTAGAGCTCATTCATCTTGCTTAGAGGCAACTTTGGCTTAGTTTGCAAGTCAGCTCATGACATGAATTAAGATGTCACTTAGGTTTCCATTGGACATATATGATTCCTTGAGTTTAAAGGTCCTCTGGTCAAGAAGATGTTCCTCTTTGAAGCCGATCACCCATGTCTACTTTTACCCACTTTCAACAAAAATGTTGATCTCCTTTCCCTGAGAAGACACTCGTGGAGGTTTGTTTTACAAAGGAAGTGTTTTACCTTTTGCCATCGTTTTCATCTCAACTGAATTGCTTACAATAGCCTGTTATTTGCCTGACAATGGTTTCAAGACCCACATCTATGGAAAAGGTATTTTTCAAAGGCAGTTAAATTCATATTTCAAGTTTTGTTCAAGTTCAACTCAAATATAGTGAATCCCAAACAAACCTAAAATGTGTCTAAGACTCATTTCCTACACATTAGGGTGGTGATTTGCCAGAAGACTGCTAGGTGGCAGTATTACGTACAGAAACAGCTTGCGGAAAGGGAAAGGCCTGTCCTCAGGTAAAGACCCTGCATTGCTGACAAGAGGGCTATGTTCTATATTATTTCAACACTCAAATTGTTTGTTTGATTTGGTTTATTGCTTTAAAAAAATATTGTGGAGTTTGAGGGTTTTTTTGATGAGGCTGAAATGTTAATCAAAGAGAGGAGAAAAA